TTGGTCTTGCGGGCTAATAGAGGAATTTTCAAGAGCAATTCATTTTGGGGAAGTTACCTACCTGAAGGAAAACTTGACGGGGGCAATAGCTGGCACAGACACCAGTGTGAAACCGTAGGCTGTCAGCTTGGATTTTTGCTGTGACAGAGACCATGTTTCTTGGACTTCTCTAATTGACCCCACCTAAAGATGCCAGGTGTCATACCTGGTCACGTGGCTGTTTCTAGCCACAGGAAGCCAGGAAATGTGGTCTTTACTCAGGGCTGCCCTGCGCCCAGGGGACAGTCAGGGAGGGGCTCTAGGACTGAGAAACAGGAGACTGGCCAGGGCAGCCAGCAGTGCTGAGTGGCTCTGTGCCATTCTCCCAGCGATACCGCCTTTTCCCAGCTGGAGGGACAGCCTTTCCCCAGCTGGAGGGACAGCCTTCTTAAGTTCTGGCCCTGGAGGACATGTGGTCAGGTGGGGCAGCCTCTTCTTCCCCATGCAGCCCAGGTCCGGCCGTCAGCCGGTATTTCCAGGTGGAGGGCGAAGTCCCTGCAGCCCCAGGACAGAGGGGGCCTGGCTGCTTTCCCAGATCTCCTCCCTGTGACGTAACCAGGAGAGACAGGAAACCCTTGAGCGGCACCAGTGCCTCTTCCTAAAGCCCTAGCTCCAGTCTGGAAATCACACCTGAAGCAGGGCGCTCTCTGCACTTAGCTTCACCTTGTGCGAGTGGCTGTTTGCGAGGGAGGAGAGGCAGAGGGGGTGGCTTTCACCTTTTCAATGTCAAGTCAGAAGATGATAAGCCAGGGGAGGAGCGTTCATCTTGTAGTGACTCTGTTTCCAAGCTGGGGGTGGCCTTGGGTCAAGGTTTTCTTGACCAGTTCACACGACTTGAGATCACATCTCTGGCGCAGGAAGACCATGTGAGGCAGAGCCTAGGTGGCTTGGGTCCAAGGTTTGGTTCGCCACTTGCTGGCTGTGTGACCACAAGCAAGATACTTAACCCCTCTGTGTCCCAGTTTCTTTATTTGCTGCTTTGGGGTGGTAATAACAGGAAGAATTTCCTGGGGCTTCTGTGAAAATTAAATAGGGAAACCTGGGGTGGAGGTCAAAGCGTGCAAAAGCTGATGGCTGTGGAATGGCCTTGTGCCCTGGCATAGGGCCACCAGGAAGGGTGCAGTGGGAAGGCTCTTTATATTTTTAAAATTTTATTATTTTATTTAAAAAATTTTTGGAAGGCCCTTAAAGGCATAGAGTTGTTGAGTTTTCTTTGTTGCTGTAGTAGTTGTTTTTTCAGACAATGCCTAACTATGTTGCCCAGGCTGGCCTTGAACTCCTGGGTTCAAGTGATCCTCCTGCCTCAGCCTCTCAAATAGCCGGGACTGCAGGCGAGTGACACTGCACCTGGTTTATAGCCATGGAGTGACAGGTGCTGAGGTGCACTCAGTGGGGATGGGCAGGCATGGGGTGCCTGGCCATCCAGTCCCTACCACCCCAAGGAGATGGGCCAGCCACAGTTCTCTCAGATCTGTCCTCAGGGGGCCTAGCCTGAGGACAGGTTTCCCACTTCCCGGCCCTGCCATGGCCCAGGACCTGCGTGAACTTTGGTGCCTGGGTACCTAGGAGAGCAGCTTCTTGGGGACAGCCCCAGGATCAGAGCCAACTAGAGTGGGCTGTGTGTCCCAGCTTTTCTGGGGGATCTCTGGCTGGATCTCTCCCCACCTGGACCTTTGCTCCAGTAGTTCCTGCTATACAGGAGGCTGAGGCAGGAGGATTGCTTGAGCCCAGCCCAGGAGTTAGAGACCATCCTGGGCAACACAGCATGACTCCATCTCAAACAAACAAAGCAAAGTGAAGCAAAGAAAACAAACAAAAATAAAGCAAATTTACTGTTTCAAGTTCTGGGTAGAAACCAGACCCAGGTTTCAGGGCTCAATCTAAGCATGTGGAGGGTTGGCTCACTCAGTTGCAGAATAGGATCCTGGTTTCTTCTGGCCACACTAAACTGCTGGCAGGGTCCTCAGAGCCAACTTAATGACTTAGTGAGACTCTGTCTCAAAATAAAAAATAAAAAAGGGCCAGGATGCAGCTCAGTGGGAAGGCCTGTTGTTCAATTCCAGTACAGGGAGAAAAAAAAAACCCCTCCCTCATTCCCTGCAGAGCCCTTCCTGCTGCGACAGGTACTGTACACAGAGTTCCAGGAATTAGGGCGTATACATCCTCATTGACCCTGCTGGGGTGAGGCACTGTGCTGGGGTGAGGTGGGGTGAGAGGTGCACATTTCAGCCTTGGGCCTCAGTTGTGGGTCCTGGACGCTCGAGGACGGGGCCATCGCTGGCACAGGGCCCCAAGGGAATGCACAGGTGGCCCCAGGCCATTTGGCCAAAGCATCAGGAGGTCTAAGGCAGGGCATCCCCAGGCCTCCAGTGAAGTTTGCCCTGTGAGACACAGGGTCAGCTCCAGGTAAGGAAGGACAGGGCAGGGCTAACTGGGTGTAGCTCCATATTCCTAAGCCAGGGCTGGGTTTGCCCAACCTAGGACACCCTGGGACCAGACTGACAGAGTCAAGTTTCCCAGGGACTGTGGGCCAGGGGGAAATGCCTGGTTTGCAGTCAGTTCTGAAAGCCACCACCCTCTCTAGTCTACCACTTTGGCAAAATGACAGCAGGGATTGCCTCCCGGGATCACACTAAGGGGCATCATTCGGCCAGGCTATAACTGAGCAGCCACCCTCGCTGGTGCTCCTGGGGATGCAGGAAGGGGACCCTATCCGACTCCCCCCTCTCAGCTCCTTCAAGTCCCACATGCTAGCCTGGAGGTGAGGGAGAGCTGTCCTTCTGTAGAGTCTCTTTGCTCCAAGGGTCAAGAGCCTCCTGAGAGACACCCCAGAAGTCCTAAAAGGAGGACAAAGTACATATTCCAGTCTTGCTGCACGCCTCCTGCCTCCCCCAGTGCCAGGCCTTCTCTGCCCAGGGTGGCATAGATTTCTCCCCTCGGTGTCCCAGTGGTTTCCAAGCCTGGTTTCATCTCTCTCCCTTCCGGTCTCTTTCCAGTACTAGGGCTTGAACCCAGGGCTGCCTTCCCACTGAACTACATCCCCTGCACTTTTTTAAATTTTTGAGACAGGGTCTTGCTGAGTTGCTAAGTAGTCCAGGGGGGAACTTGTCCTCCTGCCTCAGCCTCCCAGAGTCCTAGGATTACAGGTGTGTGCCACCATGCCTAGCTTTCAGCGGTTCCTTTAAGTGTCACCCCTAAAATAACCCAGGCCACTGAGCCCTCCTCCTACTCTAGGCCCCCAGTGCCCATGCCTCTGGCACTGCCCCCAGCTTCCCTGCCCCTGCTTCAGGGTGTGAGCCACCCCAGGCCAAGGCACCACCCTCTGCCTACCCTCTCCTTTCCTCCTCCCCACCAGAAAGGCCGGCAGCTTTGGGGCACATCCTCAGGAAGCCCCCTCCCTGCCAACCCCAGGCCAGTCCAGAGTCCTGATCTCACTTTTTGTTTTTTGAGACCGGGTCTTGCTATGTGGTCCAGGCTGTCTCAATCTCCTGGACTCAAGCCATCCTCCTGCCTCAGCCTCTTAGTTTGGTACCTGGGACTATCAGCACATCCCACCTGGGTGCTCCCATTCTCCATGGCCTATACTGGGTTGGTTCATCACTCCATGGCCTGTGGGACATCCTGTGTCTCCAGTCAGCTTGGAAAGGACTTAAGCTGGGGGCGGAGGGTGGGCAGCGTACCTTGGGGCATCAAAGGTCTGTGGAGGACACTGTCGAAAGGCGGCAGCTTTGCAATGACATTTGTGGAGCACTTTGGACTTGCAGGTGTGGTGCTGAGCACTTTGTACACAGCAGCTCAGCTACTCTGCTAAGGGTCTGGGGAGGGAGGCAATTTCATCACCCCACACATGGGGAGCCTGACTAGAGCATACAACTTACAAGCCCACACTCCCGAGGACAGTGTGTGTGAGAGTGTGTGTGTGTGTGTTTGCGTGTGTGTGCGATCTCAGAGCATCTTCCCAACAGCAAAACAGAGACATCGTCTTCTCCATCACTGCCCACTCAATACCCTTCTGGGAGGGACCAGAAACCCAAATGCCCAGAGCCTTTGCACTGAGCTACACCCCCGGCCCTTTTTTATTTTTCTATTTTGAGACAAGGAGTTACCAAGTTGATGAGGCTGGACTCAGACTTTGATTCTCTCACCTTAGCCTGTCAGAGTGCTGGAATTACAGGTGTGCCCCACCATGCCTGGCTAAGACCAAATGCAAATAAAAAATTAATTCTCCATGGTGCAAAAAAGGGAAACCTTTCTCTTCATTTTCTTAAGTGCATCTGTGGTGGAGAATGTGTAAATGCCTTCTCTGTCCCCTAAGATGTGTGTCCTGCTAGAAAGCTGAATAAGCCTCTTGTCCATTTGACAATGCAGATGCTTTGCTCAAGGCCCTGGGAGCCATCATTGCAATGCAGACACCAAGGAGATAGCACTTGCCCCAGTCAAAGGAGGGCAGGAGCCTCATCAGGTTTCAAAATGCCCAGCCCATATAAAGATACCGGCTGATATTTCCTGTGGGTAAAGACGATTAGCTGACACAGACTCGAATTACCAAGAGAGTTCAGGATGAACACTGGTGCTGTCTTGTCACTTTACATGAGGACTAGTTATTGGGGAACGTGTATGTGGCAGGTTGCCTGGCAGTATAAAAGGCGGGGGGATTTTTGCTTTTGCAGTGTCTTCAGCTGACAATCAGTGATGTGCACTGCAGTCGAGTTTAGTGTTTATTCATAGAAAAACTGTTTCCTTTCTCTCCTACTTTTGTTCAGTTCTTTGGGATTCGCAGGAGGTCTAATTCTTAATTTTCCTCCCAGTGCCTTCAGATGGATGAATGAGCTTGGCACTTTCAATGGTGTACTACACAGTCAGGCCAAAGAACAAGAATGTTCTCTCCATTTTCTATGAATGAAAAGTGCAAAGGGCACAATAGTTTACTACTATTTCTTTGAAATGAGACACAAGAAGGCTATATTTGCATTTCCTTTATATTTGCATAATTTGTGGAAGTGTGAAAAAGGACTAATGAAAGTGCTGGTGCACACACGAGTGCATGTGTTTGTGTGTTGAGAGCCCCAGGGAAGACACCAATTTATACTTTCTGAGTTTTGACAGATGTTACACCATTAATCAGCCACCACAGATGAAAAAGGACGGTGCGGTGGCTGAGGTGAGCAGCCAGAACAAACTAGGCAGGGAAGTCCCGGGCCAGCTCTCCCATTTCCCAGCCCTGTCTCCACTGGACACTAATTATACTGATACATTTTTTCCGTTCACACTGAAATCCGAAGGCTGATATGAGTGTAAAATCAAGCAATGTCTTTTTTTTTTTTTTTTTAAAGTAAAACAAAATAACAATCGCATCTTCCGCCTGGGGCTGAGAACTGCTTCCAAGCCTCTGGCAGCCTGGTGGGGTTCACTGTCAGAGGTGGGGGTTCGTGGTCCTGAGCCTCAGCCTCTGTCCCCGCACCCCACTGCGGGCTCTGTGACCTTGGCCACCCCCTCGCCTGTTCGGGTCCTAGCTTCCAGGCGTCAGCGATGGGGCCGGCCTAGGTAGAGCAATCCAGGTTGCAAAAGTCGGCAGACACGAAGAGCCTCAGCACATTGACCAGCGGGAACATGAGCAGCGCCCCGACCAGAGAGCCCAGCTGCACCGCCGCCCCGCACCACACGAGGGCGCTGTGGCTCTGGTCTCTCAGGATCACTCCCAGCATGACCTTGATGTAGCTGAGACAGGCAGTGAACAGCACCCAAGAAATCACCTGCGGGGAAGAGCAGGGACAGATGCGGAGGGAAGAGGGCCTGTGAGGTGAGCCTCGCTGTCAGGGTGGCCTCACAGGGCTGAGGGAACCCATGGAATAACCTCTAAGTACAAGGAGACCCCAGGGAGTCCCACAAGGTGACCCATCAAGGGCAACGGTGAACCCAAAGTTTCCCCTTGTGATCAAGCCAGGGCATGTGAGAGAAGGCCACCGCTGGGTGCACAGGCCGGGGGAACAGCCCCCCTCTTCAGTAAGAAGCATCCCTCCCACCTGGTCTTCTTGAGGGGGGCAGCACCACAGGTGGGATACTCACAATGAGGACTTCTCCCCCCCAGTGGCCCTGGAGGAGGGGGCAGGGGCTCATCGCAGCCATGGCCATGTTGTAGGCCCCAAAGCCAGTCCCCAGCACAGTGATGACCCCCAGGAAAGGCAGAGACCTACGGTAGAGTGGAGGAGGTGAGCAGCCTGACCTCTCAGCCCCCTCCGCCCAGGGAACCTTGTGGAATGGGCAGCAACCCTAAGGTTAGAGGTTAGACTCATGGTCCTCCCGGGCTCAAGTGAACCTGGGAGGCTCCCAAGGCCAGGACATCTGCTCCTTGGTGTTAATGGCAGGCCCCAGAGTCATAGCAGAGGAAAAACCAGACTGTGGCACAGGGATCTGGTGTAAATCCTGGTTCTAACACTTAACTTTGAGGCTGGTCGTGGGGCCTCAGTGTTCCCTCTGCAGAGTGAGGGTGTGGCAGGCCTTTGGGGACCTGCAGGAGAGCAGTGCAGGGCTGGCTCCAGCCACTGGCCTCGCCTGGTGTTTGATCTGGGGCCATTTCCTCCCAGGGCAACCCCAGCCACAGCCAGGAAGTCAGGGGTGGATGAAAAGGTGGTTTTGATCTCAGCAGGGAAACAGTGCCCAAGCTGTGACCTTGATGACCCCTCCCTTCCTGGTCTCAGCTGAGGTTTGCACAGTCTCTAGGAGGTCTTGCTGCACATCTTAAGGCAACCTCCATTAGACCCCAGTCTGACACCTGAGGACACTGCCCTTCCTTTGTGGTCCTTGTCCCTCGGGTTCACCATCTGCAGCCTCCAGGACACCAAGACTGTGAGAACCCATGGTCTGGCCCTCACACTAGGAACTCCCGCTCCAAGATTCTTGGATTCTCCTGCTCTCAGAAGTCTGCAGGGGCTATTCAGATTCTGCAGATCTGTGGCCTCTGGTCCTGCTTTCCCTTAAAACTGCTACCCTCTCTCTGTGGCTTTGAGGCCCCAAGGGAGAAAAGCCAGCTTCTGGGCCAATGGACATTTTCTGTCTAACTCTCCTGCCCTCATTCTCCTCCTGGGCTGGGCAGGACTAAGGAGCTCTTGAGCGAAGGCAGGCCAGACAGTGGCCTGGAGGATGGTGAATCCAAAATGTCAAGTTCACTAGGTAATATTTCCCCTGAGGGGTCAGAAGCCCTTGAGTCAGAACCACTTGGGTTGCTTATTAGAGATGGAAACCCTGCTGTGGTCCAGGCTGGCTCAAGCTGCATGGTGTCTTTCAGCGCTCAGGCGGTCTAGAACCTCAGCTCCAAGGGGCAAAGAGGGAAGGGCCCTTTCTCTTATCCCTGAGGCCTCTGATTATCAGCCTCAGGAGCTGCCTGCCCCTCCTCACTAGCTGCTGGAGGTGGTGGCTGTCACTTGAATTGGGCTCACAGTATGCTGGTACTGTTCAACACCTTCCAAAATCAACCCATCTCAGGCTTTCAGCAATCTTAAGAGGTAGAACTAGTACCACCCCTAGTTTCGAGGTTAAAAATCCCAGAGGCCCAGAGAAGTTTCTCCAGAAGTGATTTGTCCAATACTACACAGCTAGTAAATACCAGAGCTTGGAAACTATATTGCTTTACAGGGGGCAGTACTAGGGATTGAATCCAAGGCCTTCACACTGAACTACATCCCCAGTCCATTTTTTCTTATTTTGAGTCAGGGTCTAAGTTGCTAAATTGTCTTGCTGGGCTTGAACTTGCAATCCTCCTGCCACACCCTCTGTCTTAGTTACTTTTTTCATTGCTGAGACCAAATACCCAAGACCCCCAAGTTAAGGGAGGAAAAGTTTATTTAGCTCACAGTTTGTAGAGGTTTCAGTCCATAATTGTTTAACTCCAAGACAGGGTGGCTTGGCAGAGGGGCATTGCAGAGGAGAACCAGTTCATGGTGAGCAAAAGACAGAAAAGCAAGCAAGCAAGCACAGGAGAAGACAAGCCTCTTTCTGTCCCTTATATTGTGTCCAGGCTACCGAGATCAGGACAGTGCCGAGCCAGTCAGTGATTTAGTAATCACACCCTTAGTCCCAGGATCACACACTCCAAAAAAGCCCCACCAACTACTGTATAAGGCTTTGGGGGGACATCTAGACCCAAACCATAGCAGCCTCCCTGAGTACTGGGATTATAGGCGTGCACCACCACACTAGGCTTGAAAAGCCCTGTAATATAGCCTGGTGGGGGGACTTGGAAAGTAGGATTCTGGCATGAAGCACTCCCCTCTGCCAGGGCTCCCCAGGGCCAGGTAGGGTTACCTGTTAGGCAGGAATATGGAGAGGAAGCAGGCAAGTGGGCTGGCCACGGAGCTGAGGGTGGCAGACAGGTGGTAGGTGAAAGACCCGTAGGACAGGCAGGAGTAGGTCTGCACAGAGGGTAGCACGCCGTTGGTGAGTGCGTTTACAAAGGCCACCAGCGTGTAGATGAAGGCCAGCTGCACAGGGTGCAGGGTGGCCACTTTCTCCTCCAGTTGTGCCTTCCCCTTGCTGTTCTCTGCAGGGTCTAGGGGGCCTGCGTCTTTCTCCTCTTGCGGCCTGATGGAGTGGAGGGTGACCTGGGACTGAAGCAGGTCCTCGATGGAACCTTGCTGGGCCTGGGACCGATGCTGGAGCAGGAAGAAGGCGAGGAGGCAGCAGGCCATCATGGCGGCCAGCAGCAGGAAGAAGACCAGTGGTGAGAAGCGCGCGGGGAGGTAGCGGCCCTCCAGGTGGCTGGTGGGGGTCCACACCGTGGGGGTCCACACCGTGGGGCTGCTGGTTCCCTGGGGTCGTCAGAGGGCAGGCACGACAATGTGAACAGCAATGACAGATAATTTACCCAAGGATTGTCATTAGTAAATCATAACAGATTCCAAAGCAAAATCTCCACTGAGGGTTTCAGATGAGCTCATCCTCAAGGATTCTCATTTCATTGGTCTGCCTGCCCTCACCTGGGTTGGGGCTCCAGATGCACCACCCCAAAATTTGTAGGAGATGAGGATTTGCCACCCCCAAATGGACCAATTTGGCACTGACTGTTTTGAGCTGGTTAGAGTCAGAGGAGTAGCTCAGAAAAGATGCCCATATTAGAGGGAACTGAGCTCTCTAGAGGAACTTCTCTTAGAAAGCTGTCTGTACCTGGAAGAGAGGGATCACAACCTTCATCATCTCTGCACAGCAGGACAGCTCACTAACCACCTGTGTCAGTGTCACCCCCTCACCTCCTCTCACTTGTGCCCCCTCAGAAGCCCCAGGTCCCTGTTCCTTCCTGTGGCTCAGGATGCCATGGAAGCTCCTGCCGTCTGGCCCCTCTCTGAGTCTTCTGCACACACACGCCCTTGAAATGGCCTCTGTACTGTCCCCCTGCCTTGGGTCACTTTAACCTGCAGCACTGGGGAGGACCCACTGGGGTGGAAGGAGCCAGATTTTTCTCCCCCACCCTTTGACCCAGCACAGAGTGGCACTGTTCCATGTAACACTGGGTACCTGTGTGCTGTGGGTCTCGTTGGTGGTCACAGTGCTTGAGTTGGCATCCAGTGAGTCCGTGACATTGACACAGGAGGTGATACCCGAGCCCTGGGCCAGAGCCAACAGTGCAGGCAGGAGGCCACTGAATCCTTCACCCACAAAGAAGGTAGTGAGGTAGTAGGAGGGCAGCTGGCTCATGAAGGGCAGGAAGGTGACGGAGGAGGTGCAGTCCACCAGTGCCAGGAAGAAAGTGAGGATGATGAAGGCAATGCTGTGGCGGCCACCCAGCACTCTGGAGGTCATGTTCCAGAGGAAGGCAAAAAGGATACAGGTGACAGTGCCTACGGTCAGGATGGTGAAGATGATGGCGACTTCAGAGAGATAGCCAGGCCGGAAGCGATGCAGCAGGGTGACCAGCAGGGGCCCAATGTTGGCCAGCTGGATGATCAGCGTGAGGTAGGAGGGCAGGTTCCAGCCCTCAGGCAGCTCTGTCACCAGCAGGGGCAGCTCCACCCACAGCCCATTGATGGCCACCCAGGAGCCCATCCCGAAGACGCAGACCAGCAGGTGGACCAGCAAGGCCATGGTGGGGCTGCTGTCTCCTCACGTAAGCCTGGAAAAGGACACCAGGTGAGATGGTGCAAGGGCCTCACTGTGGGAACATGTAGGATTTAGTTACTAATTGTAAGAAGCTTATGAAATGAGAAAATTAAGCAATTCTCTGTGAATGTCCTCAACTCTAGGATTTAGTTACTAATTGTAAGAAACTTGTTAATTGAAAGAACTAAGTAAATGTCTCAGAGAACTTCCTCGGGCCTGTTTGCTGAAAGGATTGCAGAAAGCCTTAAAAGATGTTGTAAAAGTTCATAGGAAGGAAACATGTTTTCCTAAGCTCTCTTAGTAACCATTGTCCGGGGTCTGCTTTCTTGGAATATCTGATAGAGGAGGGCTGCGATGTACAATGTACTCTTAGATGTACGGCTCTGGTGAACAGAGACATGAGACGTGTAAACTTGCCTGTGGCTTTATGAGTTACTTGTTAACCTTTAAGACTAAGATAAATGTGACGATGCTGTAATGATAAACAAAGGCCAGAGATGTGCAGGAATGTCACAGATGTTCTTCTGAGAAAACAAAGAATAATGAGGTCAGAATTGCCTGTTGAAAATGTATAAAACCTGACCGCTAGACCCAATCTGGGTCGAAACAGAGAACAGTGACCTGAGGAATAAAGTGCTGTTTCGTCCCCCAGCTGTCTCCTTTTCTTTCTTTAAAGGTCGGTGCTCTCCAGGGTCTCCAGGTCTCCCTCTAGAAAGACCAACGACACCTCATCAACAAAGGGGCTGCGCTGTGGGCCCAGGGTTTTCTTTTCTTTTTTTCTCCTCTCTCTTATTATGTGAATAAGCTGACTTATTAGCAGAAAACAGACAAATTCCCTTATAACTAACCTTTAAGTGGGAAGGTTTTCCTAAGCTTGTAAATGCAGGGGCCAGAAAGAGAATTTTGATATATTTAACACCATAAATGTAAAAATCCGCAAAAGCAAATAATCAAAGATTCAAAACACTCCCTGCCAAAAATACTAACAGCGTTTGGGCACAGCGGCATCACTTGTAATCCCAGCTACATGGGAAGCTTAGGCAGGAGGACTGTGAGTTTGAGGTCAGCCTGGACAACATAGGGAGATCTTGTCTCAAAAACAAGCAAGCAAGCAAACAAACAGCAAGGTCAAAAGGCAAATGACAACCTCGCAAAATATTCTCAACACAAAACACAGACAAAAGTTCATCTTTCTAATATACAAAGAATTTTTACAGGTTTGTAATCTTGGGACTCTGGGGAACAGACAGGAAGACTGAAAATTCAAGGCCAGTCTGGGCAACTTAGTGGTTTAGTGAGACCCTGTCTCCAAAAGAAAAAAAAAAAGCCTGGGGATATAGCTCAGTGTGAAGGCTCTGGGTCCAATCCTGTCGTGGTTTATCTAAATATCCCCCCCAAAGCCTCCTGTGTTTGGAAGGTGACTGCGCAGTAGGGACCATTAATCCACTCCTCCATGGATTAATCCTGAATGTGCTGTTAGGAGGTGGGGCCTGGTTGGAGGCAGGTCCCTGGGCGTGTGACCTGGAAGGATATGCTCTTGGCCCTGCTCCTCCCTTCTCTCTGCTTCCTAGCTGCCACGAGTTGAACAGCTTTCCTCTGCCAGGCCTTTTGCCCTGTGGTTTCTGCATTGGAGCCAGCTGACCGTAGGATGAAATTGTGAGCAAAAAGAAACTTTTCCTCCTTTAAATTGTGGGTATCAGGTACTTTGTCCCAGTGATGAGACAGTGGCTAAGAAAAATCCCCAGTACCACAAAAAGAAGAATTTTACAAATCAAGAACAAAAGCCTCAAGAAAGAGGGCCAAGCACACAAATGATGAAAAGAGTACAAATAAGGTTTCAACTTGTGGAAAACTATCGTCTCCTTTCATGATAGGGGGACAAAATGAATCTTAAGTTGGCATTTTCACTGTGAGATTGTCGCAAAGCCAAAGGTCACCTGCTCTGAACTGAAAGACTCATGTTCAGGATTATCTATTCATTGTGGCCTTGTAATAGCAAAACATGGGAATCCATCCAAGCAGCTATTACTGATGGGACAGGTTGCAGAGCTTGCTACCTGTTGAAACCCACACACCTGTACAAGGCCCAGGACCAAGGAAAGGGGATGAGCTCACTGCTGACGGGAAGGTCTGCAGCAACATTGGTAAGTGACCCAGTCCCAGTTAGGGTGGGTGTTCTTTTTGCTTGATTTGCAAAAACAACCTGGGCACCCAGGAAATGCTGGGGCTGTTGCTGCCACCTCAAAATTTATCTTTTTATATAGTTTTAACTGTGAACCATATGCACTATTACCTAATATAAAAATATGGTCACCTGAAATGATTCTTTTTCTCCTGAAAGCACAGAACTCTCTAGGCCGCAGACCTTGGCAGACCACTTACTCCAGCCCTCCAGCACTAGTCTGCTGTCACTCCACCAGCCATCCATCTGATCCCCTGTCACCCACCTGTGCTGTCACTGGCTCTCTCCAGTCTGTCCTCAGTCAAGCCAAACCATTAGAGTGGCCAGGGGTGTGAGCTACCTGGCTCGACCTCAGCTCTGCCACATGCTGGGTGACCCTGCCTCTGTGTCTCATTTCCCTCCCTGCCAATCAAGGACTTTGACCGAGGGACCTCACGGCTTGTGATGAGAAGTAAAACAGTTCCGGACACACTTTAAACGCACTTTTGTCATTATGGAGTGATGCCAGGCTTGGTGACATAGTTATTTTTTTTACTTCCCATGAAAATTTGAACATGACTATTAAAATTAAAACAGCAAAATATTCCCCAGCAGTTTGGAGCTGAAGTCACCCTGGGGCCAACCATTAGGCCTGGGACAACCTCCTCCACATCTGGGGCCACCCCACTCTGGACCAGCAGGGAGGTCCCCACCTTGCCAGGAATCTCCAACACCCCGGCCGGTGCGCCCTCCTGCTTCCACACACAGAGCTTAGAAGTACTACAGGCAGCAGCTGGGCTCCCTGCTGCCCACTTCCCTGGCACAATCTCTAAGCTCTGACAGCGGCCAGGCCAGGAGGGGGGACCCAGGACAGAGCAGGCTCCTGAGAGGCCTCAAGGCTTCTGAGCTGGCCTGGAACCCACACCCCACCCTGCCACATCTGCTCAGGTTGGGAAAGCTCCTGACTGCCCACCTTCCCGGTGTCCTCTATGGCTGAGATTTGCTTTGCCACCCAGTGCATTGAGAACAGAACCTTTCTGATGAGATTTAACTCCCAACGGTCAAGGTGGAAACTTACAGGCCAGGCCTGGCTGCAGCCTTGTCATTTTGGTTTTCTCAGTGTGTTAAACAATTCCTTACTGTCATCTGCAAGTCAGGGGATATCGTTCAAAATTCAGGGTTGTTCGTTTCTGAGGAGCATTTCAGAAGACCTGGCAACATAGATCCACATGCCTGCATGGCAACAATACCTCTTGCCCTCCTTAACTTAGGCTGCCCCCTCTGGCCTCCATGGGTACAGCAACCCCTCTTCAAGCCTTCTGCTTTTTGTCTGTTTTTCTGCCAGGAACTCAGATGTGATGGCCAGAACTCTAGAAGCCATTTTGTACTATGAAGGACTACAATCCCTTGGGATTTTGTAACAGCCACAACAGCCTTATTCTGCCTTTGCTGAACCATGTTGTTTGCTTGTTTAATGTTGTTTAAGATGTTAAACTTCTGTCTTGTTTATCATTCTTACTTTACATTTAGCAAAACACTGGTGAAGTGAACAGAGACATATATCCAGGGGTATATATTTACTGATTTTAGTAACCAAAAACTAATGAATATATTTACCTCCTTTGTCCCCCTGATCCCCTAACTCAGGAACTCAGGTCTTCTCTCAACCAGAATTCTATCAAAAATAAAAATCTAACAATAGCTGTTTAGACTTGCCTTAAAAAGCCACTAAGAAATATTTACATGGAATGAAGCTTTGCCTAGTTCTAGAATTGCAAAACAAAGGCATTTAAAATCTTCAGCCACATATGGTGGCACATACCTGTAATCCCAGGACTTTGTGGGTCTGAGGCAGGAAGGTCACAAGTTCAAGCCCAGCCTGGGAAATTTAGTGACTTGGTGAGGCCCTGTGTCAAAATAAAAAATAAAAAAGTAAAAAAATAAAGGGCCAGGGATGAAGTACAATAAAAAGTCCTGGGTTCAATCCCTAGTACTGCAAGAAAAGAAAAGAAAAAAAGACACTAAAAGATTATGAATAGACTTGGGGACAAAGGTCCTCCAGAGAAATTTTAAAAAGAAAGCCTGGAGCCGGGGATTTAGCTCAGTGGCACCGCACCTGCCTCATAAGTGCAAGGTCCTGAGTTCGATCCCCAGCACCGAACCAAAAAAAAAAGAAGAAAAGAAAAGAAAAAAAAAGAAAGCCTGGCCTGGACAACTTAGTGAGACCTTGTCTCAATATGAAAAATAAAATGGGCTGGGGTGTAGCTCAGCATGAGACCCTGGGTTTGATCCTCCAGTACTGGAAAAAGGAAGAAAGAAGAAAGGAAGGGAAGGAAGGAAGGAAGGAAGGAAGGAAGGAAGGAAGGAGCTGGGCATGGTGGTGCAGGCTTGTAATCCCAGCACTTGGGAGACTGAGGCAGAAGGATCACCATGAGTGTGAGGCCAGCCTGGGCTACATAGCAAGACCCTGTCTCAGAAAACAAAAAGAAAAGAACAGAACAGAAATAAACTGTGGTCCAGAGTTGCTGTTATGAAGATATAGTCTCCCAGGGTCAGGCCTGTGGCTTCTCTGTATTCTGAGCAGCGCCTGCATCCCCTGAGAGCCCCAGGCATCCTGGAAAGGGACAGAGGCACAGTGGAGTGGCAGCTGGACCGGCTGCTCTGGGCCAGCCTAGCAGAAGGGGCAAAGGCAGCAAGACTGAGGAGGCAGTGAATGACACTTCTCATCCAGGAACAAGTCAGTTCTTAAAGGCAGCAGGTGGCTTCACAGAAGCTGGTGGCCTTTGGCAGCTGGAAAGCGGTTCTGCCCTGTGGTCGGCAGGTGACGGGTTACACACTGACACGCCCAGGGCCTGGACATCCGGACAGCTCAAGTGCCAGGTGAACACTCCGCTCCTCGCACAGCTGTCCTCTGGGTCCGACTCCAGCACCTCCATAGCCATGCAGAGGGAGGGCAGTGATTTGGCTCTTAGAGTCACTGTCCCTGATCTGGTGGTGGCCTGGGGCTTCTATCCTCAAAGGTGCCATGTGCCCCTGTGGCTACTGTGAGAACAGCCATCAGTGAGGGGACACCCTGGCCACAGGGGACGTGCAAAGGCCTGGCTGTTTCTGAGAACCCACGAGAAGCCCTGAATAGCTGATGCAGGGTGCTGGGGACCCCATGTTTAAAAGGTGAATGCTGGGCTGGGGTATGGAGCGCCTGCTCAGCACACCAAGGCCCTGGGTTCAACCCCCAGCACTGCAGGAGAAAGAAGGAAAAGATGCACATCTGCATTTTCTATTCTGTCTACAATGGCCTTCCAGTTCTTGTTTATTCATTTAATCGATATTTTTGGGTTCGTACTATGTGCTTGACAATAATCCCTGCTCTCATTCAGCTGGTGGCAAGGGCTATAGAGGAAGCAAAGCTGGGAGGAAGGAAGTGCAGGTGTGAAAGAGGGTCCAGGGTGGAGACAGCAAGTGCAAAGGCCCTGGGGTGGGGCCTCCCCTGCCAGGTCCCAGAAATAGATCTTGGTGTCCTAAGAACAGCAGGGAGGCCAGTGTGGTACAGCAGTGGGCCTCGGGCCTATAAGTGTCTTCTCTACAGCCCAAAGCTCGTTTCTGGGCAGAGGAGAGGCCAGCTCCAATTTAATGTTTAACATGCTAGCTGTGGTGAGCAGAATAATTAGGAGCCAGAGATGAAGCAGGAGTGAAGGCGGTCAGGCTGTGAGGAAGCTGTTGAAATCATCCTGGAGAAAGGATAATAACAAAACAACAAGAGCAGCTCTTAGTAACTGCTCATCGATCCCAGCTCCCTGGTGCACACACTATCCATCATGTCCCCTCCACAGTCCTGAGGTTGCCACTAAGATTATTCCATTCTACAGATGAGGAAAGTGAAGCTCACAAAGGGAAAGTCATTTGCCCGAGGTCACAGAGCTGGCCAGTGGGGCCCTGAGCTCTGGGTCCAGCCTCTTAACCAGCCTGAGAGGAAGCCTAGTGAGGGGCTGGGAGGAGGCCCAGGGGAATGGAGAGCCATTTCCACTGGCCGGGGGTCCCTAGCACTTGGGCTGGGAAGGAGAGCATGGGGACCGGCACAGAACATGGGAAAAGCCCTAAGACAGCTGCTCCCCTAGGACCTGGGCCCCTTCTGCGATTGTAGGAGCCCAGAAACAAGTGCAGCAGGAAGGCCTGGAATGGGTGGGCAGATAGACAGGGAAGCCAGAGGGTCAGCTTCAACACCCTGCCTCTCCCCCACCCTGCAATTCTGAGGATCCATCCCAGGGCCTTGCATGTGCTAGACCAGCCCTCTGCCACTGAGCTGCACCCCAACCCCTCTTTTGTATCCTTGCATCAAAAACTGAGTGTCTCAGGCCCAAAAGACTGGCAGTGAGGGGTGAGTTCTGCCCAGGCCCTGGCACCCTGGCTGTGTTGGCTGGGCCACCTCCTCCACCTGTATGACCTTGACCTGCAGGGCCCAAGCAGCTCCCCCTCCAACACCCAGCTGTCACATGCCAGCTGGGGGGCAGGAGTCTGTCTGTCTGCTAAGTGCTGCTGTCTCCCACAGGAGCATCATCTCCATGGGAACAGGGCCCTGTCCTCTCCTCCATTGCCCAGGTGGTCCCTGGCTTGCTAAGGGCTGGCACCATGTCTGGTCCCCACTGTGCATGGATAAGCAGCCAGCAGTCACCAACCCCAGGGCCTAGGCTGGGGAGTCACGCAGGATTTGTGGGCCAGGGTGACCCCAGGCAGCATGGCTGGTGGCCTGGGTGCTGGACATGTCCCCCTCCTGGGCAGGCATCTGTCTAGTCAGTGCTGTCCTGGTTCCAGGCTCCGGGGGAACTTGGGAGTCCTGCAGGCTGCTGCCCGGGCCTGAGCCTGGCCCTTCCCTAATTACCCTGGGTGGACTGGGTTTGTTAGGTGAGGGAGAGTCAAAACCAGAAAACTTAGGGAGGGGGATTTAGATCAGTGGCACTACACCTTCCTCACAAGCACAAAGTCCTGAGTTAAATCCCCAGTACCAAAACAACAACAACAACAACAACAAAATAAAAACAAACAAACCCAGAAAACCTAGAGGGAACGATAGGGAGACAGGCAAAAGGCTGAGACTGAGACACAGAAAGAACCAAAGCAGAAAGGGTCACGTGGAAAGACAGAGTTGGGCTTGGTGGTGCACACCTGTAATCCCAGCCCTCTGGGAGCCTGAGGCAGGAGGATTGCAAGTTCAAGCCCAGCTTGGGCACCTAGTATAACCCGTCTCAAAATAAAAACTTAGAAAAATGGTGTGTGGGGGGGGATGACACTGGAATGTAGCTCAGTGGGAAGGCCCTGGGTTCAACCTCCAATACTGGGAAAAAAGAGAGAGAGAGAGAGAGAGAGGGAGGGGGAGAGAGGGGGAGAGGAAAAGAAGAGAAGAGAGAAGAGAAGTTGAGCAGAGAATGCACCCTGCAGGATGCAGGCGGAGGCCAGCTGGCCTTGGTGGGAGCCTGGGCCAGATGCTGCTCACATCCACAGGGGGCAAGAGGTCTTCCCCGTTTCCACTTGCCTCCCACCAGGGAGTCCCCTCAAAGTCAATGCCCTCCTCGCAAAGATGTGGGGCAGCCAGAAGGCAGGAGGAGCTTGCTGGCAAACTGCCCACAGGATCTCAGGCTGTGACCCCCCAGGCCTGGGCTCACCGGCTGTGTGACCTCAGGCTGGCTGCTCACCCTCTCTGGGCCTCAGAGTCCCCATCTGTGAAAGGGGTTGGGCTGCCAGGAGGGAGGAGATTCGGGAGCTCAGGCAGAATCTGAGTTCCCTCCTGGGGAACTCAGCCTCCACGGCTTACCTTGGCACAGAAGCCTGCCCATTCCATCGCATGCGGCCAGGCTTCTGGGGTTCCAGCTTTCGCCTGGTAGCAGTGGCGTCCGGGGCCCCGACACAGAGACGCCCGAGCCGACTCCGCACGCTCCGGGCCTGGGCCCACTGGGGTCTGGAATCCACCGCCCCAACCCCAGCCGGCCCATCGAGGAAGAAGTGTCCTCCCATCCATTCCTCCAGCCACTCTGGACCCGGCAGCATGAAACTAGGGTTTCCACCCGCCCTACTCAAAGTTCCCCGTTCCCGTGCCCGTGCTCGACCCCCGCTCCTGGACCCCACGGTCCCGCCCAAGTTCCGCAGTCCGCCGCCCCGCCACTCACCTCCGGTCCAAGTCCTGGCTCTGCGGGAGCGCGCGGTCGGGGAGCGCGCACCTGTCCCCGCCCCCGCCGGAGTGGGGGCGGGAGGCGCGGTCCCCTGTGCGCCAGAGTTTCCCGGCCGGCTAGGAGGAGCCCGACGACTCCAGTCCTCGCTGGGATCTGGCGCTCTCTGGGTCTTGATTGTAGAACGGTTGATCCCTGAGGGCCGGCCGGAGACCTGCCTGGCTGGCGGCTCGGTTCCACCGCAGCGGAAGGGAGCAGAATCGGTTCAAACCCAGGCGCGTGAGAGAGACCCTGGACGTGGGTGACAAGGGCGCCCCCGCCGTCGGCGGGAGGTCATAGCATCCCGGAGGGCCAAGGCGAGGCCTGCAGGCTGGAGGAGCAATGGGTTCCACCTCACTCTTGTCTTCTGGGGACATTCTGTTCCTCTCCCATTGTACAGAGGAGGAAGCGGAGGCCCAGAGAAGCCAAGAGTCTTGTGTGCCATCACACAGCTCGCCCAGGACAGAGCTACCCTCCCGTATTCACGGAGCTACCCTGACCAGTAACAGCAAATATCTGATTACTGTTCAGCAACCCTAAAGGCAGGGGCTACTTTTAGTCCCTGCTTCTCAGACGGGGA